GATCACGAAACTTCATGAATATATTAAATAAAAGATCTTAAAGTATAATGAGAAGTATTAAAAGCAAGCAAATGAGTATAGAAGGCCTTCATCTTTTGATGTAGAAGATCTAGTATGGGTGCACTTAAGGAACGAGAGGTTTCCTAAAAGGAAATAGGCAAAGTTGAAGCCAAAGGTAGATGGTTCATTTTGCATTGAAGCTAAGGTGAATGATAATGCATATAAGATTGAGTTGCCCCGAAAGACTACAACATTTCAAATAGATTTAATATTGTAGATCTTTAACTTTACTTTGGAGAATATGACAAAGATTAAGACCTTAAAGTCGAGTCTTCTTCAATTTGGGAAGCATGAAACAGGGGTGTCCTCTCTCCAATAGGCCAAATGCATGTCCGAAACATTAAGTCTTTTATCTTTATTTTACTTTGTTTTATGCATTCTTTATGCTTAATTTGAGCTTGAAGAATTATTTATTTTAAGTTATTTTTATTTATATGGACTTGGACTAATTAAATAGTCCTCATGATTTAATTTCTAAGTTGGTTGAACATGGCATGGGATTTTGGGTTTGGATCCCTTTTTTTTTTTTTTTTTTTGGATCCTTATTTTATTATGAGTCATTAAATCGAGTAAATCCTTATTTGATATTAACACTCTTAAGGATAAATTCGTATTAAATAATGATTTCATAAGAGTCCATTTAGGTCTCAAGTTATTTTTCTCTTTAAAGTTTTGACCAAGTTGGTTTTCGTAGTCTAATTGGACAAGATTTTTTCAACTATAGCCAATACTTTCTAGCTCGTTTCGATAAAATTTTTGCTTCTTTTGTAACAAGTTTCTTTCGAATATTTGAGGAGGAGGATAATTTTTTTCTTTCCTTTGTGTTTCCTTGGTGTAAGGTATAATAATTATATTCTTAGAGTGATCAACTAAGGTAGGTTCCTAATCAATTGTATTCAAGCTACTTGTAGTGGTGTTATCTATATCAATAGGTTTCCTTGACATAAGTATCTTGTAAGTTCTACTAATTTTCTTTAGGGTGGTGGACTCTATAATCAAGGGAAATTTTAGCCTTGTATTATTTTATTTCAACTATGAATTTGTTAAGATTGAAATTCATATTCAACCAAGGTTTGATAGTTTCAACCTAGATAGCTTACATGGTTAGGGCTGTCTATTTGAGTTGAAATTTTATCATTCATATCATTTAGGCCTTATTAGATCATATTTAAAATTTTAGAAAAAAATTAAAAGAAGAAGGGTAAAATCAGCATCATTATTGTTTCCTAAAAATCAAGGTTTGGTAGGGTTAGTATTCAGGATTGGTCTTGTTGGATAATTTGAATTGTTTACTTACTTAAGGTGCATTTGTTTATTATTTGGGCTTGATTTGTGGTCAAAATATTGTTGGGGACATTTCGCTTTGGTGCTTTGTTTGTGTTTGTGTGTGTGCATGTGTTTTATTTTATTTTATTTTATTTATTTATTTTTTGGGAGGGGGGTGTTAGGGTATTTTGTCAATCTGACGTCACTTTCTTCTGCATCTCCATCCGAACTAAGTGGTGATCTTTTGGAGTTCCAGCTGCACCACCTCCACCATCTACTACCATTTGTCAGCAGCCTAGTGCCACTATCCTTGTACAGTAGTCTACTGCCACTGTCCAACAGTCCTCACAATAGCTTGCCCCTCCTACTCAACACATGCACAATATGGTTTGTTGTCCTTTTGTTTGTTCCAAACCGGCAGCATATATCAGCACTATTTTTTGGATCACCAACCACGGCCTCTCAATCTTTTGCTTCTCTAGAAATGAGCCCACCTTCAAAGAGGCCAACCTTTACACTAAACGATATGTTGCTATATTTGTTGAAATGGATGCCTTACATGATAATTGTTCATGGACTCTTTGTCTCCTGCCTTCCTCATATCAAAGTCGTCGGGTGTAGTTGGTTTTATCATGTAAAAAAGAAAGTAATGGATCTTTTGAGTTTTACAAGGCAAGACTTATTTAGAAAGGGTTTCACTAACAGAAGGGTGTGGACTACACTGAAAATTTGAGCCTTGTTATTAAACCCTCCACCATTCGTATTTTACCCAGCATTGTCATTTCTAAGTAGTGGCTAGTTTGCAAGTTTGATATTCATAATATCTTTCTTAATGGCATCCTCATTGAAGATGTGTTTATGAAGCAACCCCTCCACTTTGTTAATTTTCTCTATTCCAATCAAGTGGGTAAGTTGCACAAATTCTTTTAGCACCTTGTGCTTGGTTATCTCGGCTTAGTTAATTTATCCTACGCATTAGGTTTGTAAACTCCAAAATTGATACTTTTCTTTTCATTCTTTACACTGCTGAGGTTTCCATCTTTCTCATAGTTTATATTGATCATATTCTTATAGTGGATGTAGCTCTTCTCATATTACAACTCTTATTGCACGACTTGTTGCTTAATTTCTTCTCATATTACAACTCTTATTGCACGAATTGTTGCTGAATTTCACCTTTGTTATCTTGGTCCTCTTACAGACTTTTTTGGTATTAAGGTGACATCCACTAGTCACAACCTTCTCTATAATTAGTGGGAATATATTCAGGATATTCTTACTTGTGTTGCTATGTCCTAATACAAAACTCATGGCTACCACGACATCCGCTTTCACTAAGCTCTACCTTCACAATAGCAAGCCATTTTTTTTAGGCTTTCAAGTATTGTCAAATTGTTGGTGTTTTACAATACTTGACTTTTACTTGTCCCAATATCCACTTTGATATTAATCCACGCCCGTTTGACCATGATTTTCTTCAGATTTTTGTAGAATTCATAATCTAGCTTGATGGCGAGGTAATTGCCGCTTCTTCATGAATTAAGTTCCAAGTAAAATCTTGCATATGCTTAAAAAAATTATATTGGTAACATTGATAAATTGAAAGGTATTATAATTCTGGTATTTTCAAGTAAACCGTAACAAGCACCATATTATCAATATTTGAGTATAATCTATTAAAATATTATGGACTTGTTGGTCTTTTCCAAAAACGAAAATTAAAATTTCAACTTCTTTGTGCTATGCGGCAAGATTACCATTAACATAATTTCTCCACGAATATTCATTTTTCATAGTTCAGCTCATATTCAAAATAAGTAGATGTTTTGTGACAAGATTAACACTAACAAAATTTCTCCACAAATATTCATTTTCGATAGTTCACCTCATACAAGATTACTACAAATAGAATTTCTCCACGAATATTGATTTCTTATAGTTCAACTCATATTCAAAGAAGATATAGATCGATGGTAAATAGTATTCTGTTACAAAATAATAATAAATAAAATAGAAAAAGGAGTAATATATTTTGAAGGTACAGAGGGTCATCCGCCAACCTTAAGAGGTTGATCTAATGATTAAGAAAGTTTGCTTTCTTCCTTGATTTTTTTAGTCATGAAAATACTTTTATCATTGAACTAAAAAAAAAAAAAAAAAAAAACAAGTTGTTGGCTAATGATTAACAAATTGGTCTTCACAAAATTATTTTTATCTATGTATAAAATTCGAATTCTTAAGTTGTATTTATTGAAAAATATTAAATTTTCTCGCTTCTATTCCAAACAAGATTAGTCATATCTTCAATATATAATAAATACCTAAAAAAGGAAAAAAAAAAAAAGCCTCATGATTCACTAGGTTAACCCTAATAAAACAAAAATCGGTACATAATATTTTTTTCTCCCAATTGGCAGGATCTCGAAACGACTAGTCAGAAAAACAAGGATTTTAGTCATTCTAATGAAATTAGTATACCTTCTTCAAATAATGATGGCAACTCAAGGTTGTGCTAAGCATGCCCATATGTGCTTGTGTTGACAAAATATACAAGATGTAAATTGAGTAGAAGTATACTTACATGCATGATCATCTTTGTTTAACAAATAGACTAAATTTAGTTCGAAATTAAAAAAATGGCAGCTCGAGGTTAAGATCTCTTCTCATCTTATCATTCTTGATTTGGATTTTGAAATTCATTAACTCTCTCATTCTCAGACACCCAAAAAAATAAAAACAAAAGAACTGCGGAGTGTGGCCATCTATACTCACATTCACAAATAGCGAAACACGAGCATTTATTAAGAAGAAAGCCAAGAAATTAACTTACTGTAATTGTATTTGTATTTCACTTATGGCTGCATTTTGTCTCAATTTGCCTTGGAATGGGTCCGTACACTGTCCTAGTTGTAGCAGCGTACTTCAATAGACAATAGTTAATAGTAATAGGCTACGCACTTCAATAGACAATGGCTGATGGTAATAGGCTACGCTTTGAATAGATAGACTAAGGAAGGATTTGGCCTAGAAAGAGAGGGAATGAGGTATACAGCATCCATCCTAAACTTCTTTCTAAAACTATCAATTTTAATTCTGGTGGGGAAATTTTTTTTCATTGTGATTCACCAGGGCGGCGTTTGTCGTCCGCCACCATTGTCTATGGCCCATGCACACCTCTTTTTGTTTTTACTTTGCTACAGCCAGAGGCATGACATTCCTAAGTATAAACATAAAGTAGGTTCCATTTCCATAAAAGACGCGCCCGCTTTATCCAACAGTGAGTTCAAAACTAGAAGTATTGGTGGGATTGATTTGCCATACAAAAAGATCCAACAAGAAGAGCCACTTTGTAATTATTCTCCGATTCTTTTCAGCCCATGCCACTCCCGTCCAAGAACTGCAAGACAACAGAAAATGTAGACTAAAAGAGAGAACGGTAAGAGAGGCAGACAAGTGCAAAACCTTTGCCTGCCACTCTTGGTGGTCTACTTTCTCTCCTTCCAATAAAAAGGCTTCAATCAAAATAACATCAATCTGAAAAGTTATTCCTTGCTGCGACCATTGTCCTCTACCTATACTTTCTTTTTGCACTTCACAAAGAAGAAAAGAGAGTGTTCATAGCAATAAAGATCCCACCAAATTAGGCACCATTTTCTCCAAAGCCATAGCAGCTCATGGAGACAAGCCGACAGAATATCCCCCAACCTTTTATTCCACCAGAAAAGCCTTCCCAAATACTACCGTCCATCATACTTGGACTTTTTTCCTCAGCTATTTTCTTCATAAGAAGTGCTTTTGCCACTTTTCAACTCCACCAACCCAGACTTCTTAGGTTAGCTACATAAATTCGTCTTCTTGGACTTTGTAGCTCTACTGCCGATGGTACTTCTCCTTTTATGTCAATAAGAAACTCTAATACAGGCTCGCATTAAATGCATTATGATCTTAAAACACACACACATGCTCTATAAATAGGCATTAGAAAATTCCCACGACATCACTACAGCACTCTCTCATCAAAAGATTATTTGTTAACCTGCAATGGGTAGGCAAAGCTGTGATCCCACCATCAATCATTCCTCAATTGTTCTCCTGCAGGAGAGATTCAGACAGTTAGAGAGAGCAAAGGAAATGAGGCAGCAGCGGGAGCTCTTAAAGTTGTTCTCTGAATCAGAGCATGTCCAGCCAGCCATGGCCTATGAGTCATCAAAGTTGTTTTTTCTCTCTGAATTAATCCTTCCACCTAGGCAGCCACTCCAAGCCTTTCTCTCCTCCCAACCAACCATGCAGACCGAGCATACTAGTATCCATGTCAACGAGACTCCAATGGTGATGAATTTATGCTCCACAGACAGTGTCATGAACCTAACAAATAACTTTGATGAATCAGATGTAGATACCTCACTTCATCTGTGAAAATTTTTTACAGTGTTAGTCTCTCTCTTGTTCCCTTGTTATATTTCTCGAGTCACTTCATGGAGCTGTAAAAATAAGAGAGAAAAGGAAATGAAAATGTAAACTACTGTCTACTTGAACTCTCACGATCCTCTTCATGTTCGGCAATTAGATTGGAATCAGAAAGACTATGCTCCGGTCTCTTTTGGAATGAATCTTCATCATAATCACTAACATCGGACTCTTCATCACTGCTCCATTTTCTCTTCATGATCCTGGGAACCAAGCGCGCTACTTCTTTGGCTTCTAACATCGCCTCGCCATTGTTTATCCGTTCAAACCGGACAGCACTGACCTTTCTGGCATTTCCAGCTAATATCTGCAGCAAGGACACATCAAGGGTGTTGTTCAGTAAATGATATCATAGCTAATCAAGTATAGTCTTTGTAGGCATCGATGTTGTCAAATTTGCAGAGAATACTAGCAACAAGCATATAAATTATGGCTACCGCTGTTACCAAAAATTTGTATATCTGCAGTCTAACTATAACAAAAGCCATACCTCATCAATCCCACAGGCATACCAAACACTGAAGTGAAATGCAATAAAGCAATTTAACTACAGTAGAGAAATCATGAATATTTTATCCAAAACATTATAATGATCAGCAGACACATGAATTGCTATCTAAATAAGTTGGAATTCACTGTAATAATTATGAACTCCCATCCAGCATTGTTGAGTAGCTTTCATATAGCAAGCAACTCGAATTGCAGCAATAAGAGGGAATATCATCATATCTCCAGAGATTGTTGATTCCATCTAATCTACGCAAGATATAACCAATTGTTTTGTTTTTCTTATTTTAATTGAATCTCAATGTTAAACTTGTAAAACAAGAAAATAATATTCAATGACAAGGGATGAGGCTGTTGTAAGAGAGATGATGACAAGCTTTAATGCTAAGCTAGAGTAGGGGCTCAGAGAGCAAGATAGCTAACAAACTTGATCAGGTGGACGAAGCTAGGTTGAAAAGCTACAAAAGCAGAACTTGTCGCCCACAACTTTTTAGAAGTTAGGGAAAAAAATTTTGAATTGTTACTTGATGCATACAACACATAAGTCTATGAATACTAATTTATGCACTGGAGCTTCGACAGAAAAGACAAGTTGCATGGAATGCAAATTCTACCTCAAGTTTATATATTTGGTGCTTTTCCTTCAGTTCTTGTCTGTCAGACTTGCCTTCAGTATTCTCATCCTCATCTTCTTGAGCTTCCTTTTCAAGAACCACTTTGATGGTCTCACCTGTCCTTGGGATATATCCAAATGCTTCGCATATAAAACCTGAAACTGTCTCGTACTGATGGCCCTGCAGAAAAGAAAGAGAAGATAAATGGAAATGCAAATTTAAGAATTAATGAACGCTAGTTTAGAATGTACGATCTACTAATATTATCATTTCAACAAAAGAGCAAGGAAATCCCCCAAAGCATGTCAAGCTCTCATGAAGAACCATGGGCAACATGATGAAGAGAAATTGTAACCCATTGAGAAATACTGGTTATGTATAGATTCTTCAAATAATGGTATGCTGATGAACAAGATACTCAATTTAAGTATGAGACAAACGCATCCTCAAACGGTGCATCCAAGCAGTTGTCTGATAAGTGATCAAGATTGTCATACGATAAGACTCCATTTCCAAGCAAATATAAAGCAGGTATTCAATAGTAACAAACAAAGAAAACAGCAATAGCTATAGAGTCCCACACTGTAAAGGTTGCAGGTTAGGGCTCTTCTTCCTGAGAGTTAAACAGACACTATTTATTTTCTATTTGAAAGATCATTCAAGCAATGACATTTTTTAACAGTACTAGATTTTCTCATGACATGAGCTCTTAGGCAATCTACATACCAGTTATGATTATGGAAATTCTATATATAAGATCGTACAATGGGAATACATTCTTGTTCAAAAAAAAAAAAAAAAAGATACGCCCACGCTATTATTAATTTGACAACTACATAACATATCATGCATAGATAAAGATTATTAATAAGTAAAAAATATTATACAAATAAAATAAGAAAATAGTGTGGATATCACTTTCTTATCTTTCTGGAAATTCTATCATCGAAAATACAAGTTGGTAATAGAAAACTAAAACATTCTGTTACCACTATGATAGTTGCCAAAACCCAATGCTAGTTGCTAAGCCCTTTCAAAGTCTTACCTTTAAATAATATGCATCTCCAATGATGAAAAGAAAGAGATCAACATTCTGTTACCACTATGATAATTGCAAAAAACCAATGCTAGTTACTATGCCCTTTCAAAGTCTTACCTTTAAGAAATATGCATCTCTGCTGAGGAGGAGAAATCAGTGGCAGCTGGATCAAGGGGCTGCTAATTAGGAGGAAATTTGTTCTGAACAGATTTGGGAGAGAAATTAGGAGATTTGATTTGTATAGAATTCTTTCCTAGTATAAACACCTTTGTATTCCTATATAAATATAATCTATATAGAAGAAAAAACACGGCATAATATTTTCCACATGGTATCAGAGCATTAGGCAAAAAACCTAACCCTAGCCGACTTCCAGCCCTGCCCATTCCAGAAAATACCCTAGGTACCCTGGCGCCTCTAGCCGTCTGTCCACCCTCCATCTTCCTTCACCATGTCTGATATTGTATCAGAATCTCAACCAAAGTCATCTGAAATTCACAACCCCATCAAAAAAAGCAATACCTCCTATCTACCAATTTCAGATTCCTATTCGATCCAGATTACAACCATATGGCTGAATGGAGAAAATTTTCTACACTGGTCTCAATCAGTGCAGATGTATATTCGTGGGAGAGGGAAAATTGGCTACCTGACAGGAGAAAAGAAGAAACCTGCCCCTGAAGATCCAGGTTAATCCACTTGGGATACTGAAAATTCTATGGTAATGACTTGGTTGGTGAATCCTATGGAGGAGGAAATCAGCTCCAATTATGTGTTACCACACTGCCAAGGAGCTGTGGGACAATATTAATCTCATGTGTTCAAACTTGGGCAATCAATCTCAAGTGTTTGAGTTGACACTGAAACTTAAAGAAATCCACCAACGTGAGGAAAGTGTTACAAAATACTTTAATTCTTTAAAACATCTATGGCAGGATTTAGACTTATTCAGTGATGATTATGAGTGAAAATCTTCAGAAGATTACCACCACTATAAGAAAAAAGTGGAGGATAATCGTATATTTAAGTTTCTTATTGGATTAAATGTTGAGTTTGAGGAAGTTAGGGGTAGAATTATTGGTAGACAGCCACTTCCCTCCGTTGGAGAAGTGTTTTCTGAAGTTCAGAGGGAAGAAAGCCGCAAATTTGTGATGTTAGGAAAGAAAAAACCTGACAAAACAGTAGAGTTCTGCCCTGGCTACAGAGGCTTGTGCTAGCCGAATGGTTCAGGGGAAATTGGAGTAAAAATCCCATGTGTGGTGTGAGTATTGAAATAAGCCAAAGCACACAAGTGAAACCCGCTGGAAGTTGCATGGAAAACCAGCAAATTGGAAAGGAAGAAATGAGAGCAAGGGTCAACCAGCCTCTGCTCATGAACCTGTGACTGCCCTTTCAATAAAGAGCAATTGGATTACATCCTAAAGCTGCTGAAATCTAGTTCTGGATTGTTGGGTGCACCTAATGCTTCTTTGGCACATTCAGGTAGTAATCCTAATGCCCTAGTACGTCATTTTTTTCTACTCCTTGGATCATTGATTCAGGAGCTTCTGATCATATGAAAAGTCTTTCAAATTTGTTTCATACTTATAACCCTTGCTCTGGTTATAAAAAAGTCCATATAGCAGATGGATCATATTCTCCTATTGCTAGTAAAGGTTTGGTAACCTTATCAAATACCTTATCCTTTACAACTGTTCTCCATATACCTAAACTTACTTGTAATCTCCTATCTGCTAGCAAATTGTCTAAAAATTCTAACTTGGGTTACTTTCTTTGACTCTCATTGTGTGTTTCAGGACCAGAGTTCGGGGAGGATGATTGGCGATGCTACGGGTTATAGATGGTCTCTACTATTTTGATGATGAAGATTCAAAGGGTAAAAAATCTCAAGGCTTAAGTAATATTAGTTCTCTTTCTATTACGGATCAAATTATGCTTTGGCACTATAGGTTAGGGCATCCTAGTTTTTTGTATTTGAAAAAACTTTTTCCTATGTTATTTCGAAGATTGGATTGTTCAACATTTCATTGTGAAAATTGAATTTTGTCAAAAAGTCATAAACCCGTTTATCCCTCACAACCTTAAAAAACCTCAAAGCCATTTTATCTTATCCATAGCAATGCTTGGGGTCCTCCATGGATTAGCATGGATTTAGAGAAAAAAAGGTTTGTGATATTTATTAATGATCATACTCGTTTGTATTGGGTTTACTTGATGAGTGAAAAATCAGAAGTTGAAACTTTATTTAGAAAGTTTTATACAATGATTGAAAACCAATTTCAACAAAACATTGGCATTCTCCACACTAATAATGGCACTGAATATTTTAATAAGATTCTTGATCATTTTTTAAAACACAAGGGAATTCAACATCAATCTATTTGTATCGATACCCCTCAGCAAAATGGGATTGCTGAAAGGAAAAACAAACATTTGCTGGAAGTGTCGTGCCAATATGTTTTTTAAAAATGTTCCCAAATTTCTCAGGAGAGAAGCTGTTTAACAGCATCCTATTTGATAAGTAGGATGCCTACTTAGGTTCTGAACTATAGTACACCCCTTGAATGCTTTTTAAAAAAAAAAAATTCTTGAAGCCCAAATCTATTCCGATTTACCACTAAGTTTTTGAGCGCACTGCTTATGTCCATTTACATACTAGGGGATGGTCCAAACTAGCTTTATAGATATGCCCCAAACAAACATGGGTACAAATGTTTTGATCTTAGCACCCGAAAAATCTTTCACTATGGATGTCTCCTTCCTTGAACATCAACCTTTTTTTCAAGGAATTTTTCTTGAAGGGTAGAAACAAAGTGAAGAAAATTTCTAGGAAGTTAATCCCACTCCCTTGCCTAAAACTGTAGATTCCCCTAAAAATCTCCAAAAGCTGGTTGTTTCTAATATTATAGAGCTAGAAAAGGTTGAAAATTCAACAGGGGGAGAAATACTACTAGATGACCCTAAAGGACAGGAACCTAAGTTTAGAGTTTACACAAGGAGAACGAATCATCAAAATAGTAGAGAGCCTACTGTTCCCAAGGTACAAAATCAATCAGATATCCTGAATGATGAGCCTGTAGACATGCAAGGTACTATAAACCCTCTACTATCCAATACTACTCCTATTCTTGATACTTGCTATGATCTTGACATTCCCATGGCACTTAGAAAAGGTACCCGGTCTTATACTAGCCCTCTTATTTCAAAATATCTCTCCTATGATAAACTATCTCAGAGTCATAAGGCATTTACATCAAAAATCTCTAATTTTTTTGTTTTGAGAAACATTCAAAAAGCACTTGATGATCCAAAATGAAAATCGATAGTAATGGAGGAGATGCGTGCTCTAGTGAAAAATGAGACATGGTAAGTTGCCAAAAGACTAAAGAACAATTGGTCGTAAATGGGTGTTTACGGTGAATTGCAAGGCTGATGGAAGTGTAGAAAGATACAAAGTGAGACTTGTTGCTAAGGGGTTTACTCAAACCGATGATATTGATTACCAAAAGACTTTTTCCCCGATGGCTAAAATTAACTCTATTCAAGTTTTAGTCTCTTACAGTTTATTTCAACTAGACATGACATCAGCTAGATGTGAAGAATGCATTTCTAAGTGGTGATTTGGAAGAAGAGGTGTTTATGTGTCCACCACCAGGTTTTGAAAAAATTGTTGGCCAAAATAGTGTGTAGACTCAAGAAATCTTTATATGGCCTGAAACAATCTCTATGAGTGTGGTTTGGAAGGTTTGGGAAGGTAGTAAAAAGCTATGGCTTTCACCAAAGTCAAGCAGATCACACTATTTTATAAGCATTCTAAGATGAAAAAAATTGCAATTCTAATTGTTTCTGTGGTTGATATAATCTTAACAGGTGATGGCTATGAAGAACTCACAAGATTGAAAAGGAAGCTAGCAAAGGAGTTTGAAATTAAAGACTTGGGAGCATTAAAATATTTTATTGAATCGAATTTGCAAGATTAAAAGAAGGAATATTTATGAATCAGAGAAAGTATATCTTGATTTAGTTGGAGAAACCGAGCTATTGGGATGCAAGGTAGCCGAAACTCCAATTGAGGCTAGCCTAAAACTCAGTCCCGCCAAGGATGAAGATCTGATTGATAGGGAAAAATTTCAATGACTGGTGGGAAGACTAATATATCTATCACACACTAGTTCTGACATAGCCTTTGCTGTAAGCATTATAAGTCAATTTATGCACTCGCCAGGCCAGGAGCACTTTGAAGCTGCATATAGGATACTAAGATATCTGAAGGGGACACTTGGGAGAGGTTTGATGTTTAAAAAAAATGATAATGTACAGGTTGAAATCGATATAGATGCTGATTGGGCAGGTAGCATTTCTGATAGAAGATTAACATCAGGATACTGTACTCTTGTTGAGGGAAATCTAGTCACCTGGCAGAATAAGAAACAGAATGTAGTAGCTCAAAGTAGTGCTAAAGCTGAGTTTCAGTCTCTCGCAAATGGGATCTGTGAAGTAATGTGGATGAAGAGGTTATTAGAAGATCTGAAGATTCCAGTGTCACTTCCTATGAAAGTCTATTGTGACAACAAAGCTACAATTTCGATTGCACACAACCTGTTCAACATAACAGAACCAAGCACATCGACGTGGATAGACATTTTATCAAAAAGAAACTTGAAAGTGGCCTAATCTGTGTTCCTTATATACCAACCACCGAACAAATAGCTGATATACTCACTAAGGGACTATAGCAGAAACAGTTTGATTTCCTAGTAAGCAAGCTAGCTATGAAAGACATTTACAAGTTAGCTTGAGGGGGAGTGTTGAGAAGGAGAAATCAATGACAGCTGGATCAAGGGGCTGCTAATTAGGAGGAAAGAGAAATTAGCAGATAAATTAGGAGATTTGATTTGTATAGAATTCTTTGCTAGGATAGACACTTTATATTCCTATATATGTATAATCTAAATAGAAGAAAAAACACAATAGAATATTTTCCACAATCTCGAATGATGGAAAGAAAGAGATCAACAAAAATAATAATTAACAAAGGACTGCCCTTTCCATCGCCCACTTTTGGAGTTTAAAAAAAAAAAAAAAAGACTGAAAAAAGATATGTTCAGGAATATCCTAAACATATCTCCAAGCATTCACCACTTATATCTGTATATCCAAAAAGCATTAAAAAATAATCTTTATCTTTATCCTTTTTTTTTCCAACCATGTATCAAGACATCTGAAATGCATCAAGTTTTAGCAGGCAGGTTAAACTACAGGTAAAAGCCTCATATGAGCAAGGAGGTTATTATGAAGTATTTGTGCTTCCATAGCATAACAGACAGCACTTTTTTAGGTACTTCAACATTGGCATAATCATGTATTGCTCATTCTCAAACAATAATTAAAATATACCTCTGGCATTTTGATATTTAGATCTTCAGAGAGTTGATCAATAGATGTGTTCGCATCAACATCGTATATTCCCTCTGCTCGCATCACAATGTAGCCAGTTTTCTTCTCTATCTCTTCCTGCCATACAAGAGGCAGTAGTCACTAAAATAAGGTACCAATATTTGCCTTCACATTGGCACCAAACTCAGATGCATACACAAGTGTTACAAGTATCTTCAGTTACCAAAATTATCTACTGTTTCTCTCAGTACAAGTTCATGACAATAATATCAACCTCATAATGAAGTAGATTAACGTAGATTAATGGTAACTGCAACTATTATACTAATATTTATTCAGATCAGAACTGCATCGAATTCTATTTACTTATCATCATAATGTCTCATGCTTTATTTACCATACATGAATCCTTTGTTTGACTTCAATTATCAAAATTTTGTTTTCAGTAACAAGTAACAGAAAATTTCATGTTCAGATAAACAGTAGACATGCCTGGGATGTAGAATTGATCACTCCATGGCACGGCAATACTCAACCTAGTAATGGTAGATTAGAGCATGACAAAGTCATGCCAGCACCCTAGACCTATGAATTACTGTGATACTTTATAAAAAATAAAATAAATAACTAAATAAGCACAATCTAAGACAGCTTTAATATGCATCACAAACTCCACAGGACATCTTTGGTTTACTGACAAGGATACACCTAGGACGTGGAATCGATCACTCCACGGCACGGCAATACTCAACCTAGTATTGGTAGATTAGTACATGACAAAGTCATGCCAGTACCCTAGACCTATGAATTACTGTGATACTTTATAAAAAATAAAATAAATAAATAAATCAGCACAACCTAAGACAGCTTTAATGTGCATCACAAACTCCACAAGACATCTTTGGTTTACTGACAAAGATATGCCTGGGGTGTAGAATCGATCACTCCATGGCAGGGCAATACTCAACCTCGTACTGGTAGATTAGTACATGACAAAGTGATGCCAGTAACCTAAACCTACGAATGACTGTGATACTTTATAAAAAATAAAATAAATAACTAAATCAGCACAACCTAAGACAGCTTTAATAAGCATCACAAACTCCACAAGATATCTTTGGTTTACTAACAAAGATCCATAAAATGTCCACTAGAACAGTTCTGTTGGGCTCATATCAAAAGTTCCAAAATTTTCCAGCATCACATAATTGTATTCGTAACTTTTCCTCATTTCTAAGGAGGCAAATTTGGAATATGTATAGAATCTGATGAAACAACCAGAAGGCACTCATTTACAAGGAATGCAGGTTGCAGCATGTCCTCAACAAATCAAGACGAGAAATTCTTCTTCCAAAACTATAATGATTTCAACATAAAATAAATGAAAGAGTTGGTCTCATTTTATCTGATCACTTCTATAGCTTGCATTTTATTTATTTGTTTGCTTGCTTGTTTATTTATGTCCCCTGTGTAAATCATTAATCAGCATCCCAGGAAAAGAACAATTTTGAGTGTAATTCAACTATGAAAGGCTGAAGAAGGGGAATGTTACTCTTGTTGCGCAGCTGTATGTTGCAAAATAAAAAGTTAGATGAGAAATGATCCCAAAGATGATAATTTTAGGCTGTATTAGCAGCCCTCAGAGCCAGAAAAGATCCAGGCCGTAGAATATATAGCACAAATAACAGCCAATAGAGACAGAAGAAGATATATCAACTTAACTAACGCTTGTCTATTCAGCCATCAAAGTAAAATAACACTACAGGGAAAATTACTAAAGCGTTCAGAATTATACCAAATTTCACTAGCCATTCGAATATTATGTAATGATAAATTGCTGATAACACAAGGAAATCTATCTATGAAAGTATGAAAACACAACCACTTAGGAAAAGAACTGAACCTCCTTATAGGAGGTTATTGAAAATGCACAATTTTTTATTGCCAGCTTACTTTTGAATCATTTTCGTCGAAGATTTCACCCACAATCTCTTCAACAACATCTTCCAGGGTTACTATCTGCTTTGCCCCACACACGCACACACCAAAAAAAAAAACAGAGAGAGAGAGTGAACTAGTATTACTTACACGAAATTGAATACATGATGAGCATATTGGAGCATTTCATATATTCCAAACTTCAACAAACAGAAAATAAACTAAAGATTTTACAGTTCTGCTGCATGTTTAACTAAACAAAGACTAATGTGTATAATTTTCCATGCTTTAACAGGCATTACTTCTTTTAGGATTCTCAAGTTGAACATTCCACCAGCTTTAGGGACTAATAACCACTAGGTAAGTGACTTTCAATGCTTCTCATGAGTCTAGATTCATTTGGCTTTCTAGCATTGTACATTTGATTTGACTATCATATGGCATTTAGGATGTTCAAAATATAACATTCAAATTATCACATAAAGTCTAGTATCTGTGGCCCATATTCTACCAAAAAGAAAATTCATCACGTGAAGAAACTAATCATTGCTCCAGCAGTCCCATAATAAATGGCCACTACAAGTTATAGAACACATTTTAAATCATCTACTAATTGAGCAAAAAACAATATTTTTTTTCTGAGTTAAAATATAAATTGTGAATATTTTAGAATATTTTAAAATGTGTTTTCTAACATGTAGTGGACATTTAATATGCGACGAAGAGAGTACTAAGAATAGCTAGGCTGAAACAGCACACTGTGTTTTATAAAATGGGGTCATGCAATCCCTTTAAACACCCAGGGGCAAAGGCAAGAGACATTGTGGAAATAGACAGAACAAAGAGTTGAGGTTTGTACATACTCCTACAGTTCCACCATATTCATTAAGAACAACAGCCATGTGGACCTTTCTGATGCGGAACTCTCTAAGAAGATTCCAGACTGACATTGAATCTGCAAAATGAATAGCATACTTGTAAGTACTAAAGCTTATAGGTCAACATAATTGTGTTCAGTGAATCTTACAAGTCAAACCTACAAATAAATATAAACAATCAGTCACACAAGACATCAGAGAAGAGACCTTTCAAAGGTATTCTATAATATCTGATACTCCTTCAGATCACAACCAAAAAAAGAAAGAAAGAAAGAAAAATCGTGCTTTTTCCAGGGCAAAACAAGGATTTAGAAGTTAAACAATCACACACAAATATTAATAGACAGGGGGATCAAATCAGTAGACCTGTCAACTGCAGAGGTTCTGAATTGAAATTTAGACATACTAATCAAAACTTAAGGCAATTTGATTGTAATCTATCAAAAATATTGACACCTTCAATAAAAATTAGAGATGCACAATAATATAGTTGGTTAATCCGATTAAAAGATACATTTGGGAAATATTGGATATTGCTTCAAGACTTTCTTTCTTTCATAGGAGCTTCAAGACTCATTTACATGTATCAGCATCGGGTTTTTTTAATTGGCAAGTTCGGCCAAATACCATGTCTTTGCCTATGTCAGGACCTTAGCAAAAAAAATCGATCTTTTACTGTTTTCTAACAAGATTTTCTTTTTTTGTTTTTGGGTCCCTATGAAGCATCATGGAACCTGGTTGTCATATAAAACTAAATGGAGTGCACCAAAGTTTGGAAGAACTTATGCATTATGGCATCACATCATCTCATAACTAGTTGAACTTATTGACAGCTGAGGACATAGATAAAATTAGCCAGTTCGAAACCAACTTAAGTTAAATGGGCTATTCTTCTCAGGAAAAAAATAAAAAAAAAAAAAACAGTTAAATTGGCCATTCAACGTCCTTTTTCTCATCAAGGTCACTTCGTAACCTGCAGTATTCCTTTTAATAAGGCCTATCAAGTTGCAAGTCCATGGCAATATCAAAGATATGACATAGAAATAAAGAACCTATGTAAGGAGCCAGCATGTCTGAGCAACAAGACACCAAAAAATCGATCATGGACTTGCTATCAACGAATTGCAACATCAAGGCAGTCTTCCTGCTCCCAAAAATCGAAAAGTTGCATATTTACCAGATACATGGAACATTTGGTATGGGGTTTGGGGACTGGACATGCACCTAGATTAATTAACAGTACGATAAAGGGTATGCTTATATGGCTCATTAGTTCAGATCATGGTACATTTGGAATATCTTTTCGATTGAGGAAACAAATAATATGAGGTAATGGGGTAAAGAAAGAAAACTTCAAACACAGATGTGGTTTTTCATTTCTAATAAATAAGAGAATTAAAGGAACGTTAGAATTTTGAATAATTTAGAATAATAATCCAAAATAAAGTAGGCTTTTTAACTAAAAATAAAGTAGACTTAAAAATTTAAACTGTGGGGCCATATTATAATTACAAACAGACCTGAGTGTGAAAACAAGCATTGAGCAAAAGTACACTTAAGGCCTAGACTTGTCCCTTTTTTGGAGGCCCAACTTCTCTTGTAATCAGTTTTAATTAGCAAATCAACACCTCACCTGCCTTAAAACTTTCTGCCTTTCTCAAAAGTCAAGCACGTTTCTTTATTTCTTGCCACCTACCAATCTTTTTTTCCTAATTTCTGTTCTTTCTTTATGGCTTCTCTCTCCCTCTTGGCACTTTAAAGGAAAAATAAGCACAATCAGAGTTTTTCTCAATTTCTTCCATTTATCTAGATTTTTGTTGGGAAAAAGGGTTGCCAATTTTCACATTCCAGAACATGAACCACCCTGATCCATTATGTAAACATATCACAATCTGTAACAAGCTATCCAGATCGCCAAAATGTGGGGGTTTCCACATTTCTAGTAACCATGGCTAGTTCAGAGCATGCCCATACAAGTTCTTAAAGCATGTCTCTATTGAATGGAAGATAGTCTATGACCCAATCCTAATATATCTAAATACAGAAGCAATCATGCACAAAGCATATAATTTAGAATTTCACCAATCAACCTAAATTGACATACAAGTTAACGATTACCAGGTACAAAGTATGCAGGTTTGTGAGCCATGTCTCCCACAGTTGTACTTTCTAGCAGCTCACCCTTCAAAATCAAATAGATTATACTTCTGAACACCATGAGATTTTCGCATACCATCAATAAACAAAGCAACAATGGTTTTAAAGTGGGAGGATGGGAGTAGATTGCCTCACCTTCTGAACATAATCCAGCAGATCCATTGCATAGGCAATACCCACAATGTTGTCCACACGCTGCTCAAAAACCGGTACTCTGCAAAAAAATATCCATGAAATTCTTAGCATGCTGCAAAAACACATAACTCAACTATTCAGATTTTTACCTTGAATATTGATGAGTCAGCCACAACTTATGAAAATCAACAAGAGTCGCACTAGCATCAATTGCAACTACATCAACAAGAGGTGTCATGACCTCTCTCACATGTGTATCCTTGATCTCTAGCACATTCTCAATCATATCCTGTATTAAAACAGAATTATGAGCTTGTTAACTGCAGAATCCAGTCATTTTAATGCATTCCTAGAGAGAGTTAACTAAAATGATAGACATAACTTATTTCAGTAAGTTTTTTAGCAAAATATTCCTGTTCGGGTCCGATTACATCTTTCAAGCAAGAAAAAGTGTCCTATTCCTACAAATTAATTCAAGAACAATTAGTGCTGCTTTAGAAATGAAAAAAACTACCATCAAACCGCCTCCAATCATTAATGTCATATGTGATTCATTATTTCTCACTAATTCTCAAAAAACATTATTAATGTACAATTCCATCATATCAAAATAGTAATCGCCCCTCAATCTCTCCCTCAAATTACCCATAAAAATAAAACCATAGTTAGCCACTGCATTACCTGTTCCTCCTCCTCAATTGCGCCACTCAATTCTGCCCCTCGTAACATCAACTTCAACTCATCTTCTGTAACATATGGTTCGCTGATAAAAAAGGAATATGAAAAAAGTTGAGTAGGGAAAAACTAGATAAAAAATCCATTAAAAACACTCTGGAGGAAAAACCATTACTCTATAAGAGGAAGAAAATACAAAGAGAAGACAAACAAGTAATGTTGTAGATCAATAAAATTCACAAGTTCCATTAGAACAAGAAGTAATCAAAAGAAACCACTTTGAATGCACAGGATTTATAAATTGACCATTGAAAATAAAGATAAGGCAGCAGAGACTCAAAAACGATACATGAATGGAACAACCAGATTCTTAGTATGTTGTTTCATGGAATTTAACATAGGGGTAAATGAGGGAAATTACCATTATATAACATTTTGAATCACAAGAGGGGTGAAATATTGCAATTTTAAACATTTGAAGGAATAAAATGGGGAAAAAAAAAACATACGCTGAATTTTTACACCATAAGGAAATGTCAATTGTCAACATAGAAGAATGTCCAACAATGAGAATTATCAATATTGTTCTCTTTAAAATGGAAGTTAAGACCATTTAGGTCCTTAAATAAAAAAGTCCAAAACTGAAAAGGAAAATATGAAACTTGTCAAAAATCACATAATATAATGTAAATGAAACATTGCAATGAAAAATACAACGCTGGCAACATACAAGAAATGGAATTTACAATATATGAAAAAATAATGTTATGATATTTTTTTTCACCTTCTTCCTTTTAAACCAAGCATCTTCAGCATTCCCATTGACAGATACGTGACAACTCTTCCAACAGGGTATAATACTAATGAAAGCCACGCCACTGGCCTAACCTAGAGGCATTACAAACAACATTAGCCAAACACGCTTGAATAAATAGCAGTAAGATCAGCTGAAGAATAGAACAGCTGCATAGCTCCAAAAGCAAGGAGTTGAAAAGAAAGGAGGAATGATTGTATCAAAATATTATAAGCAAACTTACCACAAGCCTGGCAACCTCGGTGGCATTGTGAACAGCTATACTTTTTGGAGTGATCTCAGTAAGAAGCAATATGGCAACCTAGAGACATTCAGAGAAGAACAATAGAAAAAGAAAACAGGTTAAAGAAAATTTTTGCAATGCACAAGTGTATATGCCTTTGGGTGTTATTGAACTCCAAGAACATGCTAAATACCAATCTCCTCATCAAACCTTTGATATCCCATTAGCATTCCACTAGATTGGCCTAAGTTTGTAATTTCCTTTCAATAAGCCCCTCACTCTTTTAAACTATAGTTGTAATTATGAAGATTAAATAACAACATATGCTAAGAGCATAAACAAATGTAGAACAGCATAGAAGTGCCCTTACTACATAGCAAATTGCCTTGTTCACTAATCGACCTTCAAAAGTCCTTTTCATTCATCTCGACCACCTTACACTACAAAGAGGGTAGAGAAAAACTTCATACACAACTAAGTGCAGGTACATTTCATTTATGCACCATCACTTTACTCACCAAGTAAAATTCTTTTTAAAGATATTTTTTAGGCAAGATTTTGATGACCCATTATGCTGGACCAATTGACAACAATAGTCCCCACAGCTTAGATTTGATACAAAGAATTGCGGGAGGGGGGAAGAGGGACTTATACATACAGTCATTACTCCAGTGGCCGCACTAACTCCAGCTTCACCAAATATCGCTGTGGCTGCATCCGTTACCAATGCAGTTGCTCCGATATTAACGACACTGATAGCATAAATAGACTCGAATAAGAATTTTTTCTTCAAAATGAAGAGAATAGCTGGAACTAGTTATGATAACAATGGTTTGAATGGCAGTACGTTGTGCCGATAAGAATAGTAGTCAGAAACCGAGTAACATCACTTCGGAGCATTTTGAAGACACCGTCATCAGACTCTTTTTCAGCCAACTCACGAACCTGAAACATTTATGTCAGAGGAATAATTAGATTAAAAAAATTATTGTTCTCACCTATAGTAGCAAGAGAGAGATGATGTAAGAAGCCAACAGAATTTCCTAAATTTAAGAAACTACAAAAGGCATTTAGTATTTAAAATCCCTAGTAATTGGAAAATGGTAGCGCAGGATTTGAATATGAGGTGCAGGTTAGAATTTCATATGAGTATAACGTGCAAGTCAATGATACTAATAGATTTGGTTGATGCAAACTCTATCTTAGGTGTTGCAAACTATTGAAAACCATCATCTTCATCAAGCACATTGTTCAATACACAATGCAATGCAGCATGAATTTCAAATCTTGAGTCAAGATAGACATGGACAGAATATTATATTTGCTACTATATCTACAAAAATCTCGATTTTCTCTTCACTTCAACAAGTTGTCAAACACCACTAAGTCCTACCAGATGGTATTCATGATAAGTTAATCCTACAAGTTGCTCTATTTACTAACTACATCACTTTCCGAGACTTCTTTCTTATTTTGGCTACATGATAGAGGCACTCCCAAAACTGTCCTACATAAACCAAAAGAAATTAGCTGGTAAATGAGTTCATAGCAATTAGCCCGATAATTTCTTCTAATTTTTCTACGCTCTTCAACAAGACCATACATGTTTTTCAAGCAACGCTAATCACAAACAAATCAGACAAACTGATGTGGCAGCTACTCTACTTATTTCTCAAAACCCGCAAAAACTCACGGATTAAACATACAACCAAACAGTTAGCATCAATAAGAATTCACAAATTATGAAAAAACAAATCAAATTATTGAGCTAGAAATGCATACCTTCCATGGCCATAGCGTTGTTATGGAAGTCTCAGCCATCGAAAAAAATGCAGACAATCCCAAAAGCGCAGCCAATATCAAACCTTGCTCTTTAAAAACACTAAGGAGCTGCAACACTTTAGGCCAAGCAGTCCGCAACAGCAATATACTCTGCCCAATAACCCCATACCCTGCATTAACCACGCCCTCGGATGCAAACACTCTCTTGCACCCAAAAACCAAAACCCCACAAACCATTGCACCAAAAACAACACCCCTTTTCAATAACACCTTTATTAACTCCAACTGCACATTTTGATCAGTACCCACATCAGTGCTAACATTGCATGACGATTTTGAACGAGTTCTAGGAAAAATTGAACTACTACAGTAAGGTCTAAAATCGGTAAAATTTGATGAAATACGAGGTGGGTATTGATAACTCTTTTGAGAAACCTTAAACAGTATCTCCGAAACCCGATTGTAATGCAAAAAAGAAGAGGTTCTGGTGCCTGAAATGAATACAGGTCGACCTAAAACTGATGATTCAAATGCAATCTCCATTGCCAAAACTAAGAAAGAACCTCACTCAAAACCCAAAATTTCAAAGTTCAGTTGGCACCAAAACTAAAATTTTGGTGGTTTCGTTTTTATTGGAAGGAAGAATTTGATATATTCATTAAAAAACATTGCTTGGTGGTGGTGGTGGCGGCGGCGGCGGCTTTTGGGTTGCGTCCAATGAAGAGGTTTTTGTGGGCGTCGAAGAGGAGGAGATTTTGCTTCAGCAAGTGGCATGGGATATGAAATGACTGCATTTGGCCCTCGGTTTTTGATTTAATAGCAGTTTTTCCCCCTCATCTATTTGCATTGTAGGACAAAAATCCTTGAATTTTTCAACATTTTATTACGGATCAAAACTTTATAATAAAAAAAAAATGATTAAAAAGCATTTGTAAAACAATTAATCTTCCAATCTTAGAGAAAGATAAACTAAATTGACTTACATTTGTCTCTCGGTTTTTGGTTTAATAGCGAGTTTTTGCTCCTCTTCTATTTACATTGTTCACATGGGGGCTTATATCGTCGATGTAGTTCATTGGATCATCATTTTATGGTCAAATAGTGCCTCTTTTGTGTCAAAACTTTGATTGTTGATTAACCCCCCCAACTTGAATTTTTTAACATTTTGTTACGGATTCTATCATATTGGTCTCAATTAAGAATATTTTATAACAAAAAAATAATAATGATTAAAAAGCATTTGTAAAATAATCAATCTTCCAATCTTACGGAAAGATAAACTAAATTAACTTGCAAATATAAAATACAACTACTCTTAGTAATATTTTGGGATTTTAAAGTTGCAAAATATGATATGAAATGATTGTATTTGCCTTTTGATTTTTGGTTTAATAACGGTTTTTGCCCATCTTCTATTTACATTGTTCACATGGGGACTTATATCGTCGATGTAGTCCATTGAGCCATCATTTTGTGGTCAAATATTGCCCTTTTTGTTTTAAAACTTTGATTGTTGATCAAATCCCCCTCCTTAACTTGAATTTTTCAACATTTTGTTATAGATTCTATTATATTTGTCTTAATTAAGAAAACTTTATAAAAAAAAATGATTGAAAAACGTTTGTAAATCAATTAATCTTCCAATCTTACAAAAAGATAAACTAAATTAACTTGCAAATATAAAATACAACTACTCTTAATAATGTTTTGGGATTTTACAAAATGGGATATGAAATAACTACATTTGCCCCTCAATTTTTGATTTAATAGCGACTTTTGCCCTCTTCTATTTACATTGTTCACATGAGGGCTTATATCGTCAATGTGGTCTATTGGACCATCATTTTGTGGTCAAATACTGCCTCTTTTGTTTCAAAACTTTGATTGTTGATCAAATCCCTCCTCTCCTTAACTTGAATTTTTCAACATTTTGTTACGGATTCTATCATATTGGTCTCAATTAAGAAAAATTTATAACAAAAAAAAAAAAATCATTGAAAAGCATTCCAATCTTACAAAAAGATAAATTAAATTAACTTGCAAATATAAAATACAACTACTCTTAATAATTTTTTGGGATTTTAACATTGCAAAAAAAAAAAATTGAATTAAAATGACTACAATAGGTATGGAAACCTCTCGTAGAGAGACTACGACCTCCCAAGTTGAGTGACTTATAGGATTGTAAAGCAAATAACTTCAAATAAAATATAAATTAAGATAAAAATCAAACTCCTTAATATAATATGCAATCAAAATAACAAGATTTGACTAAACAACAAGAAATTGAACAATTAAATAGTAAAAAAGTAGGTTACGGTATGAATAAAAACCTAACAATTGAGAACTAGAAAAAATTTTATAAAGCAATACTACAATCTTTATAATATTAAAATCAAAGAAAGTTGATTAAGTTATAGGATTGTAAGGCAAATAACTTCAAATAAAATATAAATTAAGCTAAAAAACAAACTCCTTAATATAATAAGGAATCAAATTAACAAGATTGGACTACAAAAATAAGAAATTGAACTACTAAACACTAAAAACAATAGGTTACAATATGAACAAAAACCTAACAATTGAGAACTAGAAAAATTTTTATAAAGTAATACTACAATCTTTATAATATTGAATTATAGTCTTTATAATATTGAATTCAATGATCTTACGAGTAAGAAGAAACTACAAATATTTACAAATGGATGCTTGAGACAAATAGAGGATCGGAAAATCAACTACCGACCTATAAATTATCACCTACCGATTACAACATATTGATTATCGTATACTAATTACTATCTACAAGCTATCGTAAATAAATTATCACCAATTAGTTATTGTTTAAATTTTACAAGAGTTTGCATGTGTTTGGTATTGTCATGTGTTGTTCTCCTTAGGTATAATCGATATTTATAGGTTTCTACTATTCAATGATCTCCGGTAATGAGTCACTCTCTCCTATGTAAGTTGTAGTGCTCCATGGTCTTTTTTGAGTACACTATAACACATTTATGCTTTTTTTTTCCTTACAATGCAATTTCTTACTCTATCATCCTTGTGCTACAACTTCCCATATTCTTCATAGTTGGCAAGATCATGCTTTTATTACCAATAGAAGTATGTTATTCTTTAACTAATTATGCACTACTTTTCTTATGTTATAGTGCATTCGTGCTCTTTTTCTACTCTGTCATCCATGTCCTGTAATTTCTCATATTCCTCTTAACTATCTGGATCTTACTTTTATTACAACTAGAAGAATGTTATTCTTTAACTACATATACACTATTTGTTGTTGGTCATTTTCTCTCTTTAGACTAGGATTTTCCTCACATTTCATCTAGTTTTTACTAATTAAGAGTCTATCTTTTATTGATTTAAGAGCATTTTCACTTGGACAAATTGATTGGGCTTAATAAGCATGTTGGGCTTAATAAGTTAAAGTTGGGTTCTTCTTAGATAAAACAAACTCAATGGGCTTAATACAACTACTCTTAATAAAGTTTTGGGATTTTAACATTACAAAATGGGATATGAAATAACTACATTTGCCCCTCAATTTTTAATTTAATAGTAGTTTTTGCCCCTCTTCTATGTACATTGTTCACATGAGGGCTTATATCGTCAATGTAGTCTATTGGACCATCATTTTGTGGTCAAATACGCCTCTTTTGTTTCAAAACTTTGATTGTTGATCAAATCCCTCCTCTCCTTAACTTGAATTTTTCAACATTTTGTTACGGATTCTATCATATTGGTCTCAATTAAGAAAACTTTATAACCAAAAAAATGATTGAGAAGCATTCCAATCTTACAAAAAGATAAATTAAATTAACTTGTAAATATAAAATACAACTACTCTTAATTATTTTTTGGGATTTTAACATTGCAAAAAAAAAAAAATTGAATTAAAATGGCTACAATAGGTATGGAAAACTCTCGTAGAGAGACTACGACCTCCCAAGTTGAGTGAGTTTTAAAGTGAACCCATTAAACTTGATGGGCTATATTCATCTTTTCTATCCAATTTATTAGACCTAGATTTATAATAAATTTGGTTATAACGGTAAGTTAATAAAAATTCAATTTACTTTCAAAGATAATTTCAAACTTTTAAAAGGCTAAGAAGTATTTTTATTATTTTTTAACATTAAATATTCACAACAATATAAAAATAGAAAATGTGTTAAAATGCTTACAAATTTTGTTGGCAATGCCAAAAATCATATGAATTTATTTTTATAAATTTTACAACATACGAGTGGTTGGCACTCTTGGAGTATTGGAGTATTTATGAATTTGTAATGTTTATAAAAATAAATAATAATAATAATAATTTCATGCCTTAAAATTTTCTAAAATTACTTTTTATATGGCGCTTGGTGTAAGGTTAAAAAAATGGTTACATGAGTAATGATTATTAAAATAATTTTTAAGAGTGTAAAAGTTAGTTTTTAAAAATGTTTGGTACATTCATGAATTAAGGAGTTAACTATTAATTAAAAGAGAGAGGAAACAATTAATAATCATTAGTGAGAAAAAATAAAACTTAATTTGGCTTGTATTTTAAGAGGAAAAGAGAGAGAGAGAAAGATCATATATATATACACATACACACACACACACATGTATGTATACATACGTACTATACATATGTATGTATATATAGATGTAGATATATACATATGTAGATATGTATGTATACATATCTACCTATGTATATATACATATCTACATATGTATCAACCAATTTCGGACTATTTAGTAGTGCCCCTTAATAATAGCCCTCTAAAAAAACCAATAACTTTAAACTTTATCTTTATTAAAATTTGCCATTTAACTCTGTTACAAAACACCTCTTTAAAGTAGATCTGAATTTTCACTATCATATATAAAATATGTGAACTTAAAATACCAAATATATCATAAAAGTAATAATAACGACAAAAGAGCGAGAGAGTAAGATGATCGAAAAGTGAGTTCACTATGTTTTTCACTTAACACATCTATTTATAGGTCAACGTTATACAAGATTCTAGATTATAAATTTTGTTAGCATCCAAATTTGTACTCCATTTGTTTCTAATTTAAAAAATAAAATAAAAAGGACACAAACAAAAAAGAAAGAAACAAAGAAAAGGATAAATCAAAATTACAATTTACGTCTAATTAATAAAATATGAAAGATTAGAACCAAAAAAAATTTAATTGAAGGATTAATTGGAAAGAAATTCAATTGAAAGGATCTTTGCCTAGAAAATAAAGAGATAAGAGTTAAAATTGAGAAAAGATGAAAAGAGGAAGGACAAGCTAGGGTTTTCAACCAAAATCCTAATAACCCACTATAGAAATTCTCTTCTTCTCTAACCTAAAAATGGTCTTTCATTTTTTTCACCAAAAAAAAAAAAAAAAACTACATAAAACACTCTTAAAAAAACAAAAAAACCTTTATAGCCAGCACCACTTATTACTCTAAACTCACTATCAAAACCCATCATCCTTCACACCTATCATCGAACATCATCATTCTTCACATCCAT